GCACTCGCACTTGGTCTGGCGAGTGCCACTACGAGTTGCGCAGTCAGCAACAATCTTTTAAAGGTTTAGAAGGCCCCTTTAACAAGAAATGTTTGTACAATTTCTATTATACCGTACCTCATGAATTATTGGGATATATAGTAGCTTAAAGATACATGCAAAGGTAAATGTGATAGTTTCTAACTGTGGCTCATAGGCAAGCAATGTTTTCTGAAAGTGACATTAGCGAGCCCTACGTGTTTGGAATGCCCTGCACCCCCACCGTGTTGACATAGCCGACAGTTGACGAATTTGTTAATTGAGCGAGTGAATGTGTGCTGTCTTTTATTTAGCTGTGATTTCCTGAATTGATGATGTCGCAAGTTTTAACTCTGTCTGTACAATTTCGTTTTGTATTTGTTTTTTGCTTGTCCCAGCATTTTATGTGATGTTTTTATTCACAAAGACTCTTTGATTATCATTACGGCGAATTTCGCACTATGTTTGAGATATTCGCTTCAAGTTTCAAGTGCTTGCAACTTGTGTATTTAGTCTGGGTATTGCTTGTTTAACTATGTACAATGTGACACCACTCCTGTAATAATCCCATCACGGGATTGACAGTATTCTGAATAAATAAATAAATAAATAAATAAATAAATAAATAAATAAATAAATAAATAAATAAATAAATTAATAAATAAATAAATAAATAAAAATAAATAAATACGCAATGTTTGATTCAATCCTCCATGTTATCAGCAAAAAAAGCTTCACTCAACTCTCAAGAAATACTATACAGTAAGCGGCCTTTTTTGGGTCCAAACAGCACCTAAAGTAGAGGTCGTCGAATTCAAAACTGGTAGTCCTTGACTTCTGACATTGCCCGCTGCACGCCAGTAGGCAATCGGAGAGACCTGCATTGGCGCATTTTTCAAGGGGTGTTGGGGGTGGAGGAGGCAATCATTCGCACGTTTGTCACACTAGGCGTCCTCTGGTCCGCACCTGTTGCCACGTTTTGGTAACCAACATTATGCGCATACGCAGTCCACCTACCCGTGAAAGGCCCTCCTCGACTGTACGAAAATGTGTAGCAGTAAGAAATGCTATTATGTTTTGGTCACGGGGAAAAGCATTGTGCATAAATATTTTTTTTCTACCTTTACCCTTCATAATTACCACACAAATTTGCGTGCGCTTATGCCAAGGCGTTAAATATCAGCCTCGCTCCCTCGGGAGTTGAATAACCGGAAAAACAGTTGCCATTGCAGAGAAAAAGAAGCATAATTTCTTTTCAAAACACCGTTTATAGTTTTTATATACGTTGTAGTAACTGCTGCGTAGCAATTGCCATAAAAGTTCACATTTTTACACACTTCAAGTGCACTTTTCTTCGCTCTACAACTTTTAAACAACGCTACTTTACTTTTTTTGCCTATATATTTCACATAAAAAATGTCCTCTTTTTACCGGTAACATTTATGAGTTACATCGTAACGAACTTTCGATAACGACGGGTAATAAAATTAGTACCTCCAAAATAAATTTGTTCATTTTTTGCCTGATAAATTAGTATTAAAAAACAAAGTTCCTTTTCGGGATACGGGGTGGTACGTGCACAAAATATAAAATACTCAATCGAACCTGAAGCAATTTTTTAGGATCCGTGTTGATCTAAGAAGGAATCGACTATTTGCGATACCCACAGTAGGAGACTAGTTGCGGTTACGTCTTTCGTGTGGCTACCTGTAACTTTATGGTTATATGCAGTGTTCGTGTGACAGCCGTATTAATAGACTTCAGTTGAAACAGGGGACGCTAACTAAACAGCGAGTAAAATACCCCCCCCCCTTCTTTTTTTTTTGGCGCTGCGAGAAAAAACTTGGTCGTTTTGGATCTCACTCGCGCCCACTTTTAGTATTATGCTCCTGTCGTGAAATCGCCCTATTCTCCATGATGAGTAAAATTTAGCTGAGGCAGACATGCGATCGGAAGTACACCTGTAGATGTATTGTAGTCCCCAGCTGTCTCCTGGATGGGCCAAAATTTAACAAAAAGCCGATTGTAGTAATTGGCTTCTAAGTCCTTTTTTGAGCTCAAATCAATTCCAGAAGGAACTTCGTTCATTTTATTACGAGAACGTGACTCGAACACACGCAAGGCTCCACAACGCAAGACCCAAAGTGAACGTATTGGTAGGAGCAAACACCAGTCCCATGGCTACCTGCATAAAGCGCAAAGCTATAAGAGAGGTCCAACATTTTTTTATGACGAAGATTTACGATGAGCAGAGTAGATTAAAAGTACGCATCGTGACTGTGTGTTTGCTATGCTCTAGCGTGAACTTTTGGATAACCTGTTATTTTCCTAGTTTATGAGGTACCGAATGAATGGTTTGCCGCTAATAAACACGCACACAAAAGACCAAGACGACGCAGAGGTGACACTTCCAACAAAATTTATTTGTGGAATGACAGAATAATATGTGCACTGAAAAAATACAAGGCATGCGGCTAATGTCAAAAGCCTGCTTACCAAGGCAATCAATGCGCAAGAAATCTAATTTGTCTTGACGGTTCGCCAATGCACAATTCACACAACTTTTGAACGTAGAATGGTTCGAAGGGTTCACCATCTGTTTGTTTAATGCACCTACCAAGGCCCTTGACGTGATAAAATTGCGATTCACACTTAGAAGCTTTGAAGAACTTAAGAAAATGCGCAAATATTGTCTTTGTTTATTAGATTTTTTTGTAAAATGCCACGTGACATGTGATAAAAAAACTCAAAATTTGCCAAAAATGATGGAAGAAGTGGTTACACTGCAATTTTAGCCTTTTCTCTATTATTAGACAAGTGCATGTCAGAATTTCTTCATCCGTACCACAAAGCGTAATTCGAAAGTGTTTTAAAATAATACCTCGACACTTGTTGCACAATATGTTACACCACACAGGCTTATCGACAGAAACCATTCCCCTTGGCTTTCGACGTCACTAAAAAATTATCAAACCAAAAAAAAAACGCCCTTTTTGTCTCGCAAATCAGACTCAAAGTTCTACGCGCTGAATCGATTACACTAATGCACTGCATGTACATAGATTGATGTTACGAGAAACAAAGGCTGTCTTTTTTAATACACATCTACGCTCACTTCTCTACCAATCCAGCAAAATTTTGAAGTGCTTCGCTGAAAAAAATATCTTACGGGCTGTGACAGTTGCACCATGCCTGATATGTGGGGTTTAACGTCCAAAAACCACCATATTGTTATGAGAAACGCCGTAGTTGAGGGTTCCGGAAATTTCGACCTCCTGGGGTTCTTTAACGTGCGTTCAAATCTGCGCACACGGGCCTACAGCATTTCCGCCTCTATCAAAAATGCAGCTGCCGCTGCCGGAATTAGATCCCGCGACCTGCGGGTCAGCAGCCGAGTATCTTGGCCACTAGACCACCATTGCGGGGCCCGGTTGCACCATGAGTGATGAAGATTTGTTGCATGGTATCAAATGACACCATTGTGGAATCATTTTTTTATTGCTGCCCTGACCGAGAGCCGTACAGGTACAAAAATATTTTCCCTATGATTACACTTGTAGCTGATTTTTAGGGTATTTTAACCTATTTCTTGGTTTTCAGCTATCTTATTTTTAGGCACAGGTGAAATTTTCTCAAAGTTTTTAAAAATACTGCTATGTACTTCTCTATATTTTATGTATTTTTTTCACTCGGTCTATTGAGTGCTCAAATTTAGCTGCCGATTCGAAGGTGTGATAGGTGGTGCCTCTAATAAAATCAGGTATCCCTAATTGTAATCTCAATTATGAATAATTTTGCGCTGTATGTACTTCAATTTTATTCAAAAGTATCCCTTGCGAAATCCTTGAACATTTCATGTTTATTTATCTCATTTCCCTTCTTGAAACGATATTTTTCACTTCATTACAGCATGGTTTTCACTAGAAACTGGCTTGAGAAAAGCAATTATTATCGTTTATACTGAATAGTATCTCGTTGTTAGACTGAGTTATTGACAGTATGCTTCTAGATTTTGCTACGATTTCACTCGTAAAGCTTTTCCCAAAGTGTCTGACACAAAAGCCAAGCATTCTCCACCACGCGGCCTTTCATGGAAGATAGGGCGCCTTTAAATTGGGAAATATCTTCCGGCAATGGTGCATCTGCGTCTTCTTTAGACCGGCAGTGAAGGTATGTGTTCGGGGAAACTGACCTCAATAGGGAAGCAAACTCCCCGAAGAGGATATGACTGCTTAGGCTGTTGACGTTGAACAAGCGAAGAAGGCTGTCATCGGTACCACCAGTCTCGTGCATGTGGCGAGTCCGCAGTGTCCCGCGCAACGTATCAAGACAGCTGCGACAGCGTGCACCTTCAACGTCTACTAAGCTGGCGAAACCTCCAGTGGCACCCCGTCAACTCCCTTACGTGTATCACGAGCTCGCCTGGTCCATATAAAACTTCTATTGCGATAGCAATTATATGGACACTCTCGACTGGATTTTGCCGCCGACATCGGCGTCGGTGACCGCCGACATTCTACGCTTCATCCATGCAATAATAAATGCGTTAGGGAGACTGTTTCACATTGATTAGTGTTTTTTGAGAAGCAGTTTCAAGCTGCAGCGTGGCTCTGAGGTAGAACAAGCGTGCAAGGCAAGATGGCCTGCATTAGATGATCATCTAAGCGTAATGTTTTTTACTGATTATATTTGCAGCTTGCTCAATTTTGGTCATGGACCACTTTTTGGGTTTTTACTTACAACCAGTGACTCTGAGACTGATGTCGACATTTAAACTTCTTCCAAACAAGCTGTTTACCGCAACCGCGTTGTTAAGGCTGAGTCATTCATTTTATTAGTAGCTTTGGCGGCTACTGCCTGGCAGGAAGCGAGGCGTTAAATTGTCTTGGGCTCTTCATATGATTGTGACGCCGAACTCCAGCTGATGGGACCTCACATGAACGGCATGAGTACTACACTCCTCGTAATTCTGCGTCATGCAGGAGCTGAAAGACCGGTTTCTTGTTCGAGGTGACTACAATATCATCATGGTAGACTGGGGCCGCAAGTCTCAAGACCTCTACGGCCGTGTGGTGAACCTGGTTGTTCCGGAGGTGGGACAGCAGCTGGCAGCCTTCATTCATGTCGTGCAGGTAGTGAGTGAAATCCGTACCTCTTTTTCATTCTTTCAAAGCGAAAAACGAACTATCATTCCACTGCTTGTAGCACCAAGTCAGTGTAAAATCAATACGTATTGCTAATGACGAGAGATTCTACACCGCCTTCGTTCTTGTCCGGAGTCAAAAAACAGAAGAATCCACAAACAACATGGCGCCAGAGGGCGAAGTGATATATATATATATATATATATATATATATATATATATATATATATATATATATATATATATATATATATATATGCGGTAGAAAAAGAGGTCACACAAGTTTTACTAACGTTTCGGCAGGTGGGCCTGCTTTCGTCGGAGTGATATATATATATATATTATATATATATATATTTAAGCAGATCCTCCTCGATCTAGAGTCTGGCCTTCCTGATGAAGGCCAGACTCTAGGCCAAAACGTTCCAATAAACCTCGTTATATATGTATATATATATATATATATATATATATATATATATATATATATATATATATATTATATATATATATATATATATATATATATATATATATATATATATATATATATATATATATATATAGTGGAGTAATAATTCAATGGGCCAGTTAGTCTTCGTGAAGCTATGGGATATGGCACAACGGGAGCGTTGTAAACAAGGATAAATATATTTATTTCCCAACAGTTTCGGGAGGGGTCCTCCCTTCATCAGGGGATGAGTTATCCCTCATCCCCTGATGAAGGGAGGACCCCTCCCGAAACTGTTTGGAAATAAATATATTTATCCTTGTTGACAACGCTTCCGTTGTGCCATATCCCATATATATATATATATATATATATATATATATATATATATATATATATATATATATATATATTGTCCATATTCCCTGCCTCCTTTTGCCTCCTTTTGCCCTCATAATTAACAAGGCGGCAATAGGGGCTGGTTTGAATGTCTTCATGCTTGTGATGCACTGCATGACCAGGAATAAAAAACACATACGATACATAGTGACGCGCAAATGAACAACTACTTTGTCTCGACCTTTTCCCCGTACATAAGGCTGTTGTCTATCGAAGTACAATAGTCTTTTGTGCATCACTCTGTGTTGTCTTTATTTTTTCCCTTACCCTGCAGCGCATCACAAGCATGAAGCCCTCATAACTGCTTTTTCTGTGGTAGCAGGCATACTAAGGTGAGTAAATTTAAGACACTAATTGCGACATAAGCTAAATATAGTATGTTTATTACCTTTTATTTAGTGGATATTGATGATTGGGTAAACGAGAAAAAAGTGCATACCTTTTTGCAAAGATCATGTCTTGGCTTTAAGATTTTTCAAGAATAGCCACTGGCAATCATTATTGAGTAATGAAATCTCACCAATTCAGTGGCCGGTGAATTGAAAACTAACTGTCGGAAATTCAATAAAGATGCTCCTTTGAGCCATGCAAGCCCCGTTGTATCGATCACTTGCGTTTCGTCGTTGCGCGGGTTTCTTTTGGGATATGTATGGCGCGCACCTTAACGAATGCAGAACCAACACCACTGACCCGCAGGTCACGGGATCCAATCCCAGCCGCGGCGGCTGCATTTTCGATGGAGGCGAAGATGCTTGTGGCCCGTGTGTTTAGGCTTAAGCGCATGGTAGTGAACACCAGATAATCAAAACTTTCGAAGCCCTCCACTATGACGTCTCTCATAATCATATGGTGGTTTTTGGACAAATAGCCCCAGATATTATTTATTTATTTTATTTATTTAAAATACCCTCAGGGCCAATGACAATACAGAGGGGTGGGGCGAGAATACAGAAAATTTGAAATAGTTCAGAACAGGGTCGCAAGACAAAAAGAACAAAGAAAGCAGAAAACGGGCGGCGACGACGATCAGGAGCCGCGTTGACAGCAGCAACGCGATAGTTGACTTCGGATGTTCGTTCCAGAACGGTGTATGGACCGAGATATTGGTGCAGGAATCTTTCGCGGAGCCGAGGTGCACAAACAGGTGTCCACAAAACTACCTTGTCGCCTGGGCGGAACAGAACAACTCGACGCTTTGCATCAATGTCGATTTTCTCTTCTCCTGAATGGTAGAAGTGTTGGCGCGGGCGATTTCACGGCAGTGGGTGACGCGAGCGGCAAACTCTTCCGGGAGAGATGAAGTTGAAACGGAAGATGTAGGCGAAAAGGTGGTGTCCAGAACAAAAGTCGGTACACGGCCATAAACGAGAAAAAAGGGCTGTAATTCGTCGTACGCTGTATGGCAGTATTATATGTGAACGTGACTAAAGGAAGTACAGTGTCCCAGTTTTTGTGATCCGGTTGAACGTACATGAAGATCATGTCGGACAAAGTTTGGTGAAAACGCTCAGTCAGACTATTAGTTTTTGGGTGATGCGCTTATGTAGTCTTGTGGGTGGTCTTTGAGGCCTGGAGGATTTCAGCAAGGACATGTGAAAGAAATGTCTTGCCATGGTAACTAAGAAGCACACGCGGTGCGCCATGTCGTGAAATAATGGCGCCAAGAAAAAAAAACGGTGACTTCAGAGATAGCACCAGACGGAACAGCTGCCGTCTCCACGTAGCGAGTAAGGTGGTCCACGGCAGTAAAAATCCAACGGTGACCGGCTGGCGTAAGCGGAAGAAGTGCGTATAAGTCTATGCTCACTAATTCAAAGGGAGTGGACGGGCATGGCAGTGGTTGCAATGGTTCCGTGGGAAGAGACGTGGTACGTTTTTGGTGCTGGCATGACGCGCAAGAAGCGACGTAATTGGTGACAGAAGTGGAGAGGCCAGGCCAAAAGCAGCGAGTCTTGAGGCGGTCGTAAGTCTTGTGGAACCCTAAGTGGCCATCTATCGCGTCGTCATGAAACGCCTGTAAAACTTCCAGGCGAAGTGAGCGAGGAATGACGGGAACCCATTGGTTACCGAGAGGACGGTAAGTTTGCCGACATAACGTTTCATCTTGAAGCTTGAAACGGGCAAGTTGTCGTCTTAGGTGGCTGTTTGGAACCCGCGATAAGCCACTGAGCCGATCGATGATTGTGCGGCAGTAGGTATTGGCATGTTGAAGTGAGGCGACATCTGTGGACGATAGAAGGTCCGCCGAGCCAATGAACTCTTTCGAACTAGCAGCTGTCTGCTTGGTCGCTTTGGTGGGCGGTGACGAACAGATAGAGGGTGGCTGTTCGGCGCTTTGCGAGAACGGGCTACGTGATAAAGCGTCGGCATCTTTGTGCTGTCGACCAGACCTATATGTGACGCTGTAGTCATACTCTTGCAATCGTAGTACCCAACGGCCAAGGCGTCCCGACAAATTTTTGACAGACGATAGCCAACACAGAGAACGATGATCAGTCACTATTGTGAAATGCCGGCCGTATAAATAAGGGTGAAACTTTTGTTCGGACCACACGATGGCGAGACAATCTTGCTCAGTGATGCTACAATTTCGCTCAGGAGGTGAAAGAGTACGGCTCGCGTAGGCCACGACTTGTTCTTCGAAAGCGTGGTTCCGCTGAAGAAGGACAGCACCGATGCCAAGTCCACTTGCGTCAGTGTGTAGCAGAGTAGGTGCTGCAGGGTTGAAATGGCGAAGCACACTGGCCGTGATGTGAGGCATCACTTGAGGGTGTGAATAGCGGCTTCGCAGTGATCCGACCAGACAAAGGGAGCGCTCGTGGTCAAAAGTTTGTTCAGAGGAGCCACAATAGTAGCGAAATCACGCACAAAGCGGCGGAAAAATGACGCCAAGCCAAGAAAGCTGCGGAGGTCTTTGGGTGTGGGTGGTGTAGGAAAGTGCAGTACCGTGGCAACCTTGTGAGGATCGGGCTCAACGCCATGTTTACTGACGACGTGACCTAACACCTTGATGCTGTGACTGGAAAACCGACACTTCTTAGTGCGTAGCTGGAGACCGGCCTTAGCTAAACCCTTGAGGACTTCGTCTGGCCGTTCCAAGTGCTGTGAAAAGCTGGAAGAAAATATGACAATGTCGTCCAGGTAGCAAAAGCACGTCTTCAATTTTAATCCCCACACTACCGTGTCTATCATTCTTTCAATTGTGGCTGGAGCATAGCATAGGCCAAAAGGCATCATATAGAATTCAAAGAGCTCATCTGGCGTAGCAAACGCAGCCTTCTTTTTATCAGACTCGTGCATCGGAATCTGCCAGTAAGCAGAGCGCAAGTCGAGACTTGAAAAGTACTCGGCATCTTGTAAAGTATCAAGAGCGTGGTCAAGGCGAGGGATTGGGTAGGCGTCCTTACGAGTAATTTTGTTGAGTGATCTGTAATCAATGCAAAACCATACCGAGCCATCCTTTTTTTTTTACTAGTACGACAGGAGAAGACCATGCGCTTGTCGAAGGCCTGATGACGTTGCGCGCGAGCAAGTCGTTGACTTGTTCTTTTATAAGCTTGCGTTCAGAAGCCGACATACGGTAAGGGCAGCGGCGAATGACACGGGATTTGTCGGTGTCGATACGATGAGCGGCCACTGTTGTTTGACCCAGACCTTCGGAACAAACGTCCAAGCAAGTTTTGTGCTTCTTTAATAACGCTAGCAAGGCTTCAGTTTGCGTTAGGTTGAGATGTTCGCACAAAGTGGCCTTGAGAGCAGGAGATGAATCTGCAGCTGGCATACACTTTGAGAATGACGAAGCAGATGAACCAGTGACGACACAAACTGAGGCTTCTGCGGTAATTCTGGCAACAGTGGTCCCCTCTGTCAGAAGTAGTGGGTCTTGCGTCGTGTTGCAGGCGGTGATGCTTGCATGACCACGTGAGAACCGCACTAAACAAGATGCGATAATGATCCCTCGAAAAATACTGCACTGGCAAGGAACAACCACAGCGTCACCATCTAGAATGTCTCCTGGCTTGATCGTAAAGACACGTTCTTGTCCGGGAGGCAGGAGGAAATTTGCAGCTGTGACCAGGTTGGACGACGAAAGGTCGGCAGCAAAAGAAAACTCAGTGTTCATAATACGAATAAGGGG